TGTTAGCGTCATCGGGGTTGATTTTGGTCAGGCTGGTTTCAACTCCACATATAATGGTTTCAGTGGGGATGTGTTTGGGAGCGACTGCAAAGTTGAATCCTTTGGAAAGGACATTGGTTTCGGCTTTGGTGAGGATCCTATCTGAGATGTTATGCACTGTTTGTTTCATGTGTGGCTGTGAGGGAGGAGGGGTTTGTTTCTGGCGTTCTTGTAGTCTTCGGAGTTTGTTGGTGTGTGTATCTGTCTTGAGGGTGGTCTGTGTTTCGGCTCTCCAGACGGCGAGTTGTTTGGATTTGTCCCAAAGTGCGGGGTGGATCTTGTTGCTGAGTTTGAGGTGGAGTGTGAGGAGATCTTTGTTAATTCGGTCTAGGAGGAATCTTTTTGTGTGAAGTTCATTTCTGATTAGGGCCAATTCTGTTCTTTTCAGGATCCGTTTGGTGGCTGCAGAGTTGGAGTGGAATTTCAGTTGGAAACATGTGGGGATTAGATTTTGATCTCGGCAGTTACGTAGGAATGCGAGGTCACATAAAATGGAAGCTCTTTGGACTTCAAGTTTTTCATAGGTCCTGGTCAGATGGTGGATTTCCTCCCCGTAGAGGTTCGATATTTGTTTTCTGAGGTTTTCGCGGGTATTTGTATATAGGTCTTTGGTTGTTCGGGTTTTCTCCCGCGTAAAATTGGAAGTGTCTTGGCAACGTTTCGACGAAGTCACATTCGTCATCTTCAGGCTGGTGTTTTTAGCTTCTTGCTTTGAGCAGCAATGTGTGGTTTTAGCTGTTTCTTCCTTTTAACTGCCAGTGAGGGTATGAACTGATTGGATGGGAGCTTGGCTGTGTTCTGATTGGGTGGAGGTGTGTTCTGAATGGTTAGGGGCTTGGCTGTGCTCTGATTGGCTGGGGGAGTGTTCTGTTTGGTTGTGCTCAGGTTAGTCTGAGTTGCAGAGGGGTTTAAGATTTTGGGGTTAGGGAGTCGTTTGTCAATAAGGGCAGGTTTCCAAATGGCTGGTAGGCGGGAGGTACCACAGACAGAATCAGTAAGATCCTCCATAAACACAACATCAAAACAGCATTCTGCACAAACAGAAAAATATCCACCATCCTTAGAAACCCCAAAGATAAAATTGAATTAGAAAATCAAGGAGTATACGAAATCCCATGCACCACTTGTCCCACCACATACATCGGACAAACCAACAGAAGAATAAGTGCACGCATTGAAGAACATAAGAACTCAGTCAAAAAAGAGGAACCAACATCTTCCCTGGTCCAACACCTTAAAGCCACAGGACATGAAATTGACTTTAAAAATACCAGAACCATTGCCAAAAGTGAACATTTTAATAACAGAATAATCAGAGAAGCCATCGAGATAGAAAAACGCCCACACAGCATGAACAAGCGAGATGATACCTCCCGCCTACCAGCCATTTGGAAACCTGCCCTTATTGACAAACGACTCCCTAACCCCAAAATCTTAAACCCCTCTGCAACTCAGACTAACCTGAGCACAACCAAACAGAACACTCCCCCAGCCAATCAGAGCACAGCCAAGCCCCTAACCATTCAGAACACACCTCCACCCAATCAGAACACAGCCAAGCTCCCATCCAATCAGTTCATACCCTCACTGGCAGTTAAAAGGAAGAAACAGCTAAAACCACACATTGCTGCTCAAAGCAAGAAGCTAAAAACACCAGCCTGAAGATGACGAATGTGACTTCGTCGAAACGTTGCCAAGACACTTCCAATTTTACGCGGGAGAAAACCCGAACAACCAAAGACCTATATACAAATACCCGCGAAAACCTCAGAAAACAAATATCGAACCTCTACGGGGAGGAAATCCACCATCTGACCAGGACCTATGAAAAACTTGAAGTCCAAAGAGCTTCCATTTTATGTGACCTCGCATTCCTACGTAACTGCCGAGATCAAAATCTAATCCCCACATGTTTCCAACTGAAATTCCACTCCAACTCTGCAGCCACCAAACGGATCCTGAAAAGAACAGAATTGGCCCTAATCAGAAATGAACTTCACACAAAAAGATTCCTCCTAGACCGAATTAACAAAGATCTCCTCACACTCCACCTCAAACTCAGCAACAAGATCCACCCCGCACTTTGGGACAAATCCAAACAACTCGCCGTCTGGAGAGCCGAAACACAGACCACCCTCAAGACAGATACACACACCAACAAACTCCGAAGACTACAAGAACGCCAGAAACAAACCCCTCCTCCCTCACAGCCACACATGAAACAAACAGTGCATAACATCTCAGATAGGATCCTCACCAAAGCCGAAACCAATGTCCTTTCCAAAGGATTCAACTTTGCAGTCGCTCCCAAACACATCCCCACTGAAACCATTATATGTGGAGTTGAAACCAGCCTGACCAAAATCAACCCCGATGACGCTAACAAAATCAGACTCAAAATCACCAACATCCTCTGCACCAGCAAGCCACCCAAAAGCAACTTACCCAAAGAGGAACAGACAGCACTACGTAACCTGAAAGAAGACACCAGCATAATAATCCTACCAGCAGACAAGGGCAACGCCACGGTGGTTATGAACACATCTGACTACCAAACCAAATTAACCAACCTACTCCAAGACTCCACATACAAACCCCTAAATACAGATCCCACCACCTACCTGGAAAAAACCACCAGAACCAAGATAAAAGCCTCCCCCATTAGCGAAGAGATCCAGCAAAGAATCATTCCCAGAGAGAAATCATCCAGATGCCCTAAACTCTATGGTCTCCCCAAGATACACAAAGAAGGAACCCCACTCAGACCTATAGTCAGCTCCATAGGCTCACCTCTACAAAACCTAGCCAAATTTCTCGCCAAACAACTACAGCCCTATGCAGAATCCATCACCTCACACGTAAAAAACTCATTCCAGTTTATAGAGATCATAAAGAAACAAAGCTTACAGCCCAGCGACCTACTAGTGAGCTTCGATGTCATATCCCTCTTCACCCAAGTGCCTATCAAAGAAGCCTTGACAGCTATTCAAAACAAATATAACCCCCCCCAAACACATCTTAGATCTGACCAACCACTGCCTATCCAACACATACTTCATCTATAATGGACAAAAATACAAACAAACAGAAGGAGCACCCATGGGATCACCCCTCTCACCTGTCATTGCCAACCTCTACATGGAACACTTTGAAACCCAAGCTCTAGAAAAATCGGATCACAAACCCAAACTCTGGCTCAGATATGTAGACGACACCTTCATAATCTGGCCACATGGGAAAGAAAAACTGGACAACTTCCTCACACACCTCAACAGCCTACACCCCAAAATACAGTTCACCATGGAAACAGAAGCTAACAACCAACTTCCCTTCCTGGATGTCTTAGTCTACAAGAAATCCAATGGCTCCCTAGGACACACCATCTACCAGAAGAAAACACACACAAACCGCTATCTGCACGCTCTCTCACACCACCACCCAGCACAGATCAACTCTGTAGCCAAGACACTCATCTCCAGAACAAAACGCTTAGCTGACGAACAACACCTAAAACCCGAACTACACACTCTCACCAATGTACTAACATCCAATGGATTCCATAGAAATAAGATTACAAACCTAATCCAAAAAGAAACCCCCACCAAAATCCAAGACAAAGAACAAGAAAACGGCAAAGCCCTCCTCCCATACATAAAAGGCACCACAGACAGAATCAGTAAGATCCTCCATAAACACAACATCAAAACAGCATTCTGCACAAACAGAAAAATATCCACCATCCTTAGAAACCCCAAAGATAAAATTGAATTAGAAAATCAAGGAGTATACGAAATCCCATGCACCACTTGTCCCACCACATACATCGGACAAACCAACAGAAGAATAAGTGCACGCATTGAAGAACATAAGAACTCAGTCAAAAAAGAGGAACCAACATCTTCCCTGGTCCAACACCTTAAAGCCACAGGACATGAAATTGACTTTAAAAATACCAGAACCATTGCCAAAAGTGAACATTTTAATAACAGAATAATCAGAGAAGCCATCGAGATAGAAAAACGCCCACACAGCATGAACAAGCGAGATGATACCTCCCGCCTACCAGCCATTTGGAAACCTGCCCTTATTGACAAACGACTCCCTAACCCCAAAATCTTAAACCCCTCTGCAACTCAGACTAACCTGAGCACAACCAAACAGAACACTCCCCCAGCCAATCAGAGCACAGCCAAGCCCCTAACCATTCAGAACACACCTCCACCCAATCAGAACACAGCCAAGCTCCCATCCAATCAGTTCATACCCTCACTGGCAGTTAAAAGGAAGAAACAGCTAAAACCACACATTGCTGCTCAAAGCAAGAAGCTAAAAACACCAGCCTGAAGATGACGAATGTGACTTCGTCGAAACGTTGCCAAGACACTTCCAATTTTACGCGGGAGAAAACCCGAACAACCAAAGACCTATATATATATATATATATGTGTGTGTGTGTGTGTGTGTATGTGTGTGTGTGTGTGTATGCATATGCATATGTATATGTATATATATATTCAGTGTTTTTATTGTTTGTAAGCTGCCTAGAGTCACATGAGCAAGTAGGCAACTATATAAATGTTGTAAATAAATAAATAAATGCAAATAAAATATATTATAGTAGTATGTAGTATATAGTAGAACGTTAACTGTAATTCTGCTATAATTTAAAAGGCTAATTCAAAGAAATGGTCCTGTCCCTCAGATATCCGTTGTTGTCATCTTGATAGAATTGCTTATATACCCCTTTTAGCCAAGGGATAGTCTTGCTTTTTTAATTTTAGCCCCTAGGTTGTTGCTCTGGGCTGGATGATTCAAAAACAGTGGGAGACATGATTTTCTGGGTCAGAAGAGGGGGAAGCAAATGCTAACTATATATCCTTTTTAGACAAGAGCAGCTCTTGCTTCTTCTTTTTTTATTTTTAGTCCTGTTATTTTGAGCTGGATTCCTTTTCTCTTTTCAGAGGTCAAATGTGATCAACCAGAAGTGGAAAATGGGAAAATAACTAATTTACCTAAGCCTTCATATACCTATAATGAGGCTATCAGCATTGAATGCAATTCTGGCTATTCTGCTGTGGGAAGCCTCCATATTAAATGTGGGGCTAACAGTTCTTGGGTTCCTGCCATCCCCAAATGTGTCAAAGGTAATTAGTTTATGGTCCTACAGGAAAGTTTGGTTGACATTTAATACAGAACATTCTGCCTGGCTAATCTGAACCATCATTTTCTGTTTTTCCCTAAGTATTACCTCTGCTACTTTCTCTTTTCCTACAAGTAGTGGCCACCACTGTTCATTCAGATGACAGGTCTTATTGACTAAATTATTGAAAATATGCCTATGTCTCTATAGTTCTCCATGCCATTTGCTCTTAGTCTTCCCTTGTATAAGAAAATTCTTACACATATAACCCTTTTAATTAAATAGTAATAACTCAGTTTCTTCAAAAGAGAACACAAACCATTTTGGCCCAGTGAATGAAAAACCTTCCCACACACTTGATTCCTCCTCCTGCTTTGGCTAGATTCATCCTTCACCCTCTAGGCCAGTGATGACGAACCTTTTAGAGACCGAGTGCCCAAACTGCAACCCAAAACCCACTTATGCATCGTCGGGTGCCGGGTGGGTGTGGCCCATTGGGTGGGTGTGGCCAATTGGGTGGGTGTGACCCATTGGGTGGGTGTGGCTGCGATGGTAACAGCAGACTGGGTGGGACTAAAGATCAAACAATCAATTCCAACTTTGCAAGAACTTTTTTTCCTGTAAGAAGTTGAAATTGACTGATTGATTGAACCTTTTTTTTTTTTTTGCACACAGGAGTGGAGGCCTAAAGAGAAAAGGTTTTATAAAACTCAGCTGAAGGCCTAGGACTGGGGTGATGGCGTGCGTGCCCACAGAGAGGGCTCTGAGTGCCACCTCTGGCACCCGTGCCGTAGGTTCGCCACCACTGCTCTAGGCTGTTATTTTCAGCTGGATTCCTTTTCTCTTTTCAGAGGTCAAATGTGATCAACCAGAAGTGGAAAATGGGAAAATAACTGATTTATCTAAGCCTTCATATAGCTATAATGAGAGCATCAGCTTTGAATGCAATTCTGGCTATTCTGCTGTGGGAAGCCTCCATATTACATGTGGGGCTAACAGTTTGTGGCTTCCTGCCATCCCCAAATGTGTCAAAGGTAACTATTTTACGGTCTTACCGGAGAGTTGGGTTGACATTTACTACACAACATTCTGCCTGACTAATCTGAGTCATCGTTTTCTGTTTTCCCCAGTTACACTCCCCCCTACTCAATCAAGTACAGTTAACGGTGAGTTAAAATGTCACAGAACCATTAATGAGATTTGGGTGTTGAGCTGCTTCAATTAAGTTAGTAGAAATATTTCTGTACCTACAGAAGTCTCCATACAAAAGGAGCCTACTTTCTAATCTTTCTTATATAGAGAAGCTTGCAGAGGGAATGAATTGGGTATCCTGAAAGAAAGCTTTATTTGGCTGCCACACCAAATAATTCTAGATGATAACTTACACATGTAGGTCCCAAACAGTTTTTCAAAATACATTAGCATTTGGGAGACTAACAGTATATCCTAGCAAATGTTTTCTGTTCACTCTCCAAAACAAGTTTGAATTTTTGGGGACTGCTGTATTTATGATCCTATATTGAATATCCTTATTTATTAATTATATTTTTATCCCTCCTTTATTAATAATAGTTTAATAATAGTTTTCACTCTTGTACACAGCTTTTGCAGTGAAAATTGCCTTTGTATGTATCATATAAGTCTATTATCTGTAATATGTTTTTACATGTTATTTTATCTATTATTATTTTTAGAAATATAAAAGCAATTTTACAGCTTGTATTTGTAACCTAACATGGGTGTTCCCTAGGTGGAAACATTTTTTCTTCTTCTTTGAGTTTAATATTGATAACTCATCACAGTATTTTTTTATTTTTTTATTTTTGCTATATCACAGATTTTCATTAAAAAGTAGGGCTTTTGTTTTCTTTAGAAATCATTTAATTGGCTCTCACTTGCTCAGAGTTAAAATGTTTTTCATAATGATTTTATTAAAAGTTTAGCTAGAACATTAAAAGATAATATGAACTAAAAAAAAGAAAAAACGAAAGGAAAAAGGTTCAAGAAAGTAACTATATATTTCTTTATATATTGCTAAAAAAAAATCCTTTTCACCCCTATGGGCTGTATGTTTTCACAATGAATTTTATTTTATCAACATTTTCTCTCAAATTACAGAAAAGCCAAATACAACTTCAAAAGATTATGCAGGTAAGACTAAAATAGTATGAGGTGAGCTACTGCACTTGTACCAGCAAGATGGTTGCTTTTCAAATAGTGAAACTGTGGCAGTTTGTAATAAAAGACCTGGGAAAGAAAGAAAGAAAAACAAACAAAAATGGCATTTTCTTCAATTCAACAATACTTGTATGGAAACAATTGTACAATCTTTGTATCCTTCCATGCAACATAGACACAATAAAGTCCATTTTTTCATATTCAGCACCATATTTCTATCTGTTGTGCAAAGGGGCTTGTCCAAAATTAGATCAAATGAAAAGCAATTTAGCCAAATTTAGCCAATTTAGCCCCCCCACCCACCAAAAGTAACCTTCAGATCAAAGCTTTCAATAGTAGTGGTTGTAATATGATGTTACTCCTAGTATTTTTCCAGTTTTATTTCAGGGACTCTTTTTTTGTGCACTGTACACATTTTAGTTCACATATTGAAATTCACAATCTAGCACTTTACTTACCACACTACACTGGACCTCTATTATTTAATAACAAATGATAATGATATTTTAAATAAACCAGAAAGAGAAAACATACATTGATTCCAATAAGGCTCAAAAGTTTAGCTCATTTCTCTTTCCCTTTTTTTTCTGTTTTAGAATGTAACAGAACTACAGCACTTGGTAAGTAATTATATGATGAGATATTTCAAAGTGTAGCCAGTGCTATTCTGTTTTAATGAATGATGAAAATTTAATTTCTTATTGTTACCATTTCTTCATAATCCACACACGGGAGCTTGGCATGATGTATTTTGACTGCCCAAACTTATCCAGTGAGTTCTATAGACAAGTGAGGTATTGAACTTTTGTTTTTCCAATTTCAATTTAACACCTTAAATAATATATTACACTGGGATTGGAACACTTAAGGTTCAGTGTTATGTAAAACTCAACATGCTCATTGTGCTAAACTTTTATTTCTCTCTCTAGTGTTGATATGTTGGAATTGTCATTGAATTTAGACTTTGGGAGCAGTCTTAATTGAGAGTATCTTTCTCCAACTTCTCACAGAAACTTCATTTACATCTTTTTAAGAATACAGGAACTTCAGCAACTGAAATATTTGTCATATTTTACCCCTAAAACATCTTGGACAAAAAATCATTTTTTTTCTTATTGGCTGTTCTATGAAGTAGTGAGAAACTGAGCTGCTTTGCAGTTGATGGAAAGCTTTACAGTTCTCTGTTTACTAACTATTTCCTGGATCTTTATCAGCATGTGAACTAACGCTTACGTGTCCAACAAAGGCAGTCTAATTCTGTGTAATGGAGAACCTCCAAATATACATATAAAAGTCTTCATGTGAATGGAATCCTGGTAGTGAAAACTGATTGACTTATTTAGATGTGCAAAAGCTCACTATCAGAATCCTGGCTCACACTGAAGCCCAAACTCCCAAAGCCCAATCTTACTGCAGATCCTGTAATAGAAATGAAATAGACAAAACCCTGCACTTATTCAGGCCATACTTGAGAAACAAAGATATTGATCATAAAATCCAATATCAAAAATTATGCTACCACAAGGACATTAATGTGAAAAGTAAATATTTTTGCTCATTCAGAAGGGCAATTTCTATGATTTCTGTCATACATCCTGGTTTTCTGAAAGAGTTGAGCTATTTTTGATAGAGGGGTAAGGTGGCACGTAGGGACAAAAAACCCTCAACCCAATAAACTAGACCACACTGCAGTTTTCTGAAAGGAAAGATTGAATAGAGTCTCTGTCTTTGGCTATATGCTAATTAATTTTTATAAATAGCCTAGAGGATGGAATAGAAGAGAAATAATGTGCAGATAACACCAAGTTGGGTGGGGGTATTGGGAAATATTGCTTGTGACAAAATCACAATTCAAAATAACTGAATAAAATACTGAGTCGTATTCAACAGGGTGATGTTCGGTAGTTAGAAATTAATGTTCTGCATCTAGACAGGAAAAATCATAGACACGCATACTGCATAGGACAGGGGAGACCTGGCGGGGGAGCACTGAGTGTGAGAAAGATGTAGGGATTCTAGTAGAGCAAGCCATGTGATGCAACAACTGCTAAGGTCAACAAATTCTTGGGCTGCATTAAACTTTATGTCCTGATTCATAGGAAGTAATAGTTCCAATACATATATGCTGATCAGATTGCATTTGGATTACTGCAATACGTCTTGAGCATCACAATTTATAAAGTTTAGGTAAACTTGGAATAGGGTCAGAGGATCTAGAAATGAAACAATATGAAGAGTACATACGTGTCATCTCAGTTAGACTGAATATGTTTTGTCTGTCCCAGGATGTTTAGATCAGATACTCTAAATCAGTGATTCTCAACCTTGACAATTTTAAGGCATGTGGACTTCAACTCCCAGAATTCCACAGCCAGAAACACTGCTCTAAATAAAGCCCATATTTTATTTATGTTCATCAACATACATAAAAACCAACTGAATGTGAAAATCTTAAAATCTTCCTTATAAATCCACAAGGTTATAAAGCAAGCAGAGATACTGCTTTTGGCAATCCTATTTTTTTATACCTGTTGGGAAAGGAAGATGAGAGGCTTAATCCACCTAGCATCTCCTTGGTGAGATGGATGGCATAGAAGTTTAATAATAAATAAATAAAACGAAATATGAATGACAGGAGAAGGATCAAAGAGATTCATAGATTTCTTCTTCCAGTCCTTTCTTATTAGTAGCCTTACTCTATTATTCTTATTGGAAAAGCTGAAAGATCTAATGGAAGGAGAAACAGCAGGCACATTCAGTACATCGCATTTTCCCCAGACTATCCTACTAGACTCAGATCTTTTCTGTTATGTTTATATAAACATATATATGCATACACCTTCTCTTCTCTCCTGTCCCCTCCTGTCCTTTCCCCTTCCCCTCCCCTCCCTTCCCTTCCCTCCACTCTCTTCTCCTCTATTCTTTCTTCTGGCAATGTTATTACCCAAAGGAGAAAGCCAAAGTTTTTGACCCTGTGCAGTACTAGTGGTAGGGGGATAAATCTGTAAAGAGACAAAACAAGTGCTTGTCCATAAATCTCTCCAGCCCAATTTGGGGACATTTTATTTTTAAGGGAAACTTAAATATGAAAAATCATCTTTCTAATTCCCAAAAATTGGGCAATACTTTAAGGAACCACTTGTTCTATGAGGTAAAAAATGATTTTGGATGTTGTATGAAAATCCTGAGTTGTTCATTCTTGCCTAAGATAAGAGGTTTTGAATTATTTATTACAACTTTTTCCTAGGAAAACTGATCATCCTCCTGGCTGTTCTGTATAATTGCTGGTGAAGTCATGAGACTGAACACATGGAAAATCTATCAAGATTTTATCTGACTACATTGAATATCTGCTTTGCTTATTTATTTAATTTCATTGCTAAACATAAAATACAAACTCCTAAAACCATTTATCTGTCGATTTGTTTATTGTATTTATATTCCATTTTTTTCTGAAAGCAGGAATATATGGGTCACCTTATTTTATTCCCCAAATGGCAGCCCTGTTTAAAAAAAATGTCCTGAGGATGACTGAGCAAGGGTTACCTCATGAGTTCCATATTTTTTAATATGTTATTAAATTTCAAGAAAAATTAAAATACAAAATAACTACAAAAAAAAGGGGGGATTCAAAAGGTGAAAAGATGAAAAGGTGAAAAAAGAAAAAAGAAAAAAGGAAGGAGAAAAGTGAGGAAAGGCTTCCAACTTACTTAATATATATACAAATAGTTAATCAAATAATCTTTTATTCTAAGTCAAACATAATATAACCAATATCTAACTCTGAATTTGGCAACATATACAATATTTCACAGCCTTAAACAAATCCAATAATCAAATCATTAATTTCAAATTAGCCATCATTAAAAAACAAGATTATAAAAATAAACTCTAGTTTAAAAATAAGCCTAAACAAAATAATAAAATAACAATATTGTTCAATTTCAACATCTTCATCAATCCATTTTTCAAATTCACTTTTTGTTACTCATTTTTGCATTTACTTCCTCTCTATACATTATAATTCCTCACTAATATAATTGTAACAAGAAAAAAGAAAAAAGTCACATATTTCCTCCATTCTATTGATCCATTATAACAAAAAAAATCCCACCTCAAAGACATATTCATCTTTACATTTTTATATATAAAAATATATAAAAATAAAAGTAAATAATACATTTCACCACAAAATTCATTCCTTAAACCTACATAATTATCAATAATCAAAATTAATATTATACCCCAATCTTACAAAAAGAAGATCTGCCAGAAAAGATGGGGAAGAATACAAATATAAGAAATTCTGAGATAATGAAATAGATGAAGGATGGACTGAATTTTCCTGCCAAGGGGAATGCTGTGCTGCCAAGAAGAATTATTCAACAATGGATGATGCAGAGATATTTACAATAGAGACTTACGAACTTTGGGAATGAGATGCAACTGCTGGCAAAGTTCCCAGTTAAAAACCTAAAGAAACGTTTCATTACTAAGAAACAAATGAGGGTATTTGATCCTGGACTGATCAAACATAATGGTTGGGATGCTTTGTGATAAACTGTGCAGATTTTCTATAACTAAATTACAATAACAGACTGTTAACAGAGTGCTTTGAATTTTAGCTTCTCTGTTGTTTAATCTGTTAACTATTTTTTGCTTTCATATTTGTAATGTATGACAGGTCAACTGAGTTGCAAATAGTGATAGAAGCTCAAATTTGGCATCTGTTTTGCAGGGGGGAAAACTATTATTGTAATAGATTTGTCAGTGTTCAAGTAGGGCAATAATATGGGTTTTTGTTTTTTTAATTCACACATTTTTAAACATTTTGTCTAATTTTGCCTTTCTTTTGAATAAAATAAAAATTGCAAGAAAAAGAAACTAAGTAGATCTTTGAACATGATACAGTTCCCGTTTAATCTGATGAAATACAGTCCTTATTATGGTATATGTCTAGTAAAATAAAATGAAATAATAAAGAAAATAAAACCAATCTGTAGGTCAAAAGGGCATGAGTGATTGTCAGCAGAGTTCAGTGGTCCAGAAAGGGACATAACTGATATATAACCCAAAGTTATGCAGAGACCTTAACAAGTCCAAGTTGTCTCCAGATTGCACACTGTTTATTTAAGGATTATTTAAGTCAAGGGTCTCCAACCTTGGCAACTTTACAACTTGTGGACTTCAACTCCAGAATTCCTCAGCCAGCTGTTCTTTGCAGCTAGGCTGGCTGAGGAATTCTGAGACTTGAAGTCCAGCAGTCATAAAGTTGCCAAGGTTGGAGACCCCTGACTTACTGGGTAGGGCTGTACTCACACAGACTTTTTGTTGTACAGCAAGAGGATATAATAGCTATGTTAAAAAGTGAACAGAATGATTCTGGGCATTCCTTTCAATGATAAGTTAAGTTAGTAACAACTTGAACTGAACCTAATGACTGTGGTGCTTCACTTAAGAAATGTGGAAAGAAAGATTATAAAATGGGGCAAAACTCACTTAACACATTTCTCATTTAGCAACATAAATTATGGGCTCAGTTGTGTCCCAGGGCCAGGATCACATCACCGTTTGCAATCTGCCTTCCAACAATGAGAGAAGCTGGATTCACTTGACGACTGCACTAATTTGTTTAATTGTGGCAAAAAAATCATAAAACCAGGCATGACTCACTGAACCGCTACCTTGCTTAACAATGGAAATTTTGGTCCTAATTATGGTCGTAAGTGGATGATTCTTTGCAGCAAACAATTAAAACTTATTTAACAGCATTTATATCACAAATATTAGAGATATAAATTGTCTAATGAAATTCACCAACAAAATTATCGGTAATTTGGACACATTTTTGAATAAAAGGCCACCAGTTTGAGCCTTTTGAGACCCTTTTTTTTTTCACCTATCCAACTGAAAACAACTTCTCTGTCTTGCCAATCTTTAAGCTTTCTGCTAGGGTCACTTGGCCCACACTTTCAGTACTTCTTTGCTACCATCCAAATAACTGTAGACTACCAGTATGTATGGTAGTCTGAGTTTTATTAATCAGAAACTACATAAATTCATCATTTTAGGGCAGGGATGTCAAACTGCCTGCCTATGGGCCAGACGTGTTATGTGGAAGCCGTGCCCACCCCATTGCCGGCAATGGCAAAACTCTCCCGATACATTGTGTGACATCATGTGATGTCACAAGTTTGACATGTCTGCTTTAGGGGATCCCAATATACACACACACAAAAAAAAAAAAACAATGCCAAAATGACAATACTCATGCTGTGACTAATGCCAACTCTGCATCTTGCCATAAGCTTTAAGTCACAGCAGTTATTACACACATCTGTACCATTCCCTCGTATCCACTACAATCTCATGAACTTTAAGAGCTCCCCCACCTCCTACCCCTGCTCCAGTGTGTCCCTTGAATGCCAATGATCATTTATTATGTCTTTGAGCCAGTATTGACTCCTGGTGATTGCCTGGATTAGTCCCTGCAGTTTTCTTGGCAAGGTATCAGAATGTGGTTTGCCATTGCCTCCTTCCTACAGCTGAGAGAGAGTGACTGGCTTAAGGTAACCCAATTAGCTTTGTGCCTAAGGCAAGACTAGAACTCATGCTGTCTTAGTTTCTAGCTTGGTTCCTTAAATACTACATCAAACTAAACAATAATCAAATAAAAAAGCATTTTTATGAAGTTATTAACAAAATGATAACAAGGTTACCACTATAACTGCAGGCACACAACATCAATAAGTATTTCCCAGTTGGAGAATCTCCAGCAGACTTGCTCTTCAGTTTCCAGAACCTTTACCATCTAAGAGATGGACAGAAATCATGCTACCCAGATTTAACAGAATAACAGAGTTGAAAGGGACTTTGGCGGTCTTTTAGTCCAAACCCTTGTTCAGGCTGGAAACCTATACCATTTCAGACAAATGGTTGTCCAATATCATCTTAAAAACTTCCAATGCTGGAACATCCACAACTTCTGGAGGCAAGTCATTCCACTGATTTATTGTTCTGTCAGAAAATTTCTCCTTAGTTTTAAGTTGCTTCTCTCCTTGATTAGTTTCCATCCATTGCTTCTTGTCCTGCCCTCAGGTGCTTTGGAGAATAGCTTGACTCCCTCTTCTTAGTGGTAACTGCTCAGATATTGGAAGACTGCTGTCATGTCACCCCAAGTCCTTCCTTTTCTTCTCAAACAAAAATATAAGGTCATTCTTGACCTGTTCACTTGACCTTTTCTCTAAGAGTTGGTTTCTTGAGATACAGAAGCCAAATACCAATTAAGACAAGGGACTGAAAGCCAAGAAGCGAACTTGTTGTTTCTATATACATGAGAGCTTATGCACTGGAGACAAATTCCTTGTGTGACCAAACACACTTGGCCAATAAAGAATTTTATTCTATTTTTTTCTATATCAGAACATAAACCTAGACGCAAAAAACAAGGTTCGGAGGAATGTGTGTTTATTTAAGGATTATTTAAATCACTGCGTAGGGGTGTACTCCCCAGACTTTTTATTGTACAACAGAAGCAAAGCCCAAGGATATAGCTTTGTTAAAAAGCAAACAAATGATTTTGGGTGTTCCCTTCACATACAGGTTCAGTTCAAGTCTTTTAAGGTTCCCCTGTAACAAAGGGAAAGACTATTCCTTTGTGTAGTGAAGAGAAAAATGAAAAAAAATTGTAGGGTTGGAAGAAACCACAAAAATAATCTAATCTGAGTCACTGCACAAATGGGAAAAGTATTTAAAGAATCCATGAGACTCTCTTTTTAAGAACCTACAATCTCCACAACTAAACTGTTTCATTATTATACAGGTCTTATCATCAGGTTTTTTAATATACATTTAAATTAAATCCAGGTAGCTGCAACTTGGTATTTTTTATCCTAATTTCTGTGGCCATGGAAAATAGTTTCCATCTTCCCTGCAGTTTCTCTACTTGAGCACAGCTATAGCACAGCTTAAATGTCCTCAAAGTCTTATTCAGATTGACCATCCCAAATTCCTTCAATTCCTTAAGACCATGTCTCCATGTCCCATTATCATCTTTGTTACCACTCTCTGAACCAGTTATAATCTGTCAATCTCTTTCTGATAATATAGAATTCGGAATCAGTACCCAGGTATACTTTTGCTGGTGCCAGGCAGAGAGGAACAATGATTTCATGTGTTTTAATAAGTATTTTTAATGCAGTCCAGATTTATATTAATCTTTCTAGTAACTGCTTCTCACTACTGATTCACAGCTTCTTTTTTGAAAAAAATATACTTTATTAAATTACTTATTAAAATACATTTCTCCCTGAAGATACCTCTGCAACATTGAGACATTTCAAAACTTGGATAAAATCCAGGTTCCTTATATCTGTCATATTCCTTCTTGTCAATGGAATGGTGACCCTATTAGAGGATGAGACAAGATTTCTCTCACATTTTTTTTGTCAAAGTTATGTTGGCCTTTGTATCACAGATTATCTTTAAGATCCCTGAAAACTGCCCACTTTATTTACCTATTATAACATCATTCCGGATAATAAAGTTAAGCTCACTAGTCTATTGGGATTTTTTTTTCTTTCCTGAAGAGAGGGACCACATTCCACAATTTTTCAGGAGTGAACAAAGATGATTAATCGAGAT